TGAAGACATCAAATGCAAATAAAATGAAAGTCGAACGAAGAATATAATTCGATACTAGTATAATTTGTTTTAAATATTTATTTTTTAATTTATTATATTTTTTTTTGACTTAAATTCCTAATAATTAAAATATAAAGTATGAATGAATAACGTAAAAAGTAACGCATTACTTATATGTTACTTCCTTCTAAAGCAATTACCTGATCTTTTTAAACAGTTTGTTACGCGTTACTATACCGCTACTAAATTAATTAAAGTAATAAATATATATTTTAAAAAAGGTTAATAAAATTTGGCCATTAAATTTTAAAAATAAATATTCAATTTTTTATGAATATTTTAAATCAGTGGATTAACGGGTAAAAGATTAGGTTTATACATCTAAACTATTACTTGTTTATGATTTCGATTTCCGGCGGTATCCATTTGGCAGCATATGCAGTTAGCGAATTGTAAGATAGATAGTAGCTAGCCAGCTCTATATGGGAGTAGGGTTAATATATATATTTTAAAAAAGAGTTTATCCATTAATACTCTAATGAGGTTTATAGGACCCCAGACGTGCTAGAATTATTAAGGTTAATTATTATTATCTGTCATTTTTAGTATCCTCATTAAATATATCTTGGAATATTTATTTCAAATTTTATTCACCTTGGCTGAGTATTTTGGATTTACTATGACTGATAGGGTCTCTGAAACCCTACTAGAGTAAATTAGTAAGGTTTTTTTAAAAATTTTCATTTTATTTTGATGAATAAATAATAATTTTATGAAATCTCTTGATTTTTGTTCAATTATTTTTTTTGTCCCTAATATTTAGAGTAAAATTTTTATACCCTATTTTAAAAAATTTTGGTACAAGTTATAATTATCCTCAGCATTTTTTGTCTAAGCATAGTAAATTAAAATAAATAAATGTCTTATAAAGTTTAAGGTCAGTTATATTTTATAGAAAAATATAAGAACAAAATAATGAATACAAATGGGGATATATTCATTTGAAATTGGGGTTCATTTGACTCCACTTGAGCATTTGCGTTATTTCTTTCATTGAAATATTGAATGGGTAGGAGGCGATAAATGTTTAAAATAAAATTTTTAGAATATTTTAGCTAGTGTAATGAGCAAGTGATTAGGTTATATCCGGTGTTTTTAGTTCAATTTGCGACGGGGCTCATTCTTCAGGAAGTCTTTTTAATGAAGCACGCTAGCACCAGCAGTTAGTTGAAAGTTAAAAAAGATAATTTAACATTTTCTCTAGTGATTCACTAGCTTTTATAATCTCAGGGAGTTCAAAAATTATTTTTTTAAATTTCTGAAGATTAATTTAGCTAATATTTTTAAAAATGACCTTTTTTAACTAACAATTTTCAGATGACCTTTTTAAAGGTATTTTTAATTTTTTTTTAAATTTTAATGGGGCTTGAGTTCCTGTACGTTCCCCTTTTAGTGACGTTGCTACTTTCCCCTCGTTCTAAGAATTCAATTTTTTTTTCTCTAAAATTGAGGTATTTTTGTCTGGTGTCTTTTTGTCCGTGAGTATTTTTATCCCGGCCTGTGTGTCTAGAAAATTTTAGTCCATAATTCAAATAAACTATAAATGTTTCTCGATAACTTTTTACGGTTTAGTTACAAAATTATACAAGCACTGTCTCCATAAATATTTTTTATCATTCAAATAATGTGAAAATGCTATAAGTAGGATAAATTTTAAAATTATGAGATTAAATTGCGGGAGATTCGCTGTAGTGGTCTGCCTGCTGTAAAAAATTTTTGGGAGTCTCCCGCTGATGGGAGAGGTAACCAGACAATCCTGGTCTAGAATCCTGTTAAAAAGTAAAAATATTAAATACCAGCTTAAAAAAAAAGGGAAAGCACGAGAGAAATAACTTTTTTAAAATTATTATAAAATTATATAAAGAGGCTGAAGTAAAAAAAAACTATTTTTACAATGAGTTATAATTACTAAAAAATTTATGGTTTCATCGAAAAATTATACAACTAGCCTTGAAGTTGAAAGGGTTTAATAATGCATCGGCCCATGACACATAAATATAGAGTATGGCTCGATATCTGCGAAATAATAATTAGAATAATCACCACATAATAAAAACTAACATATAATTTATAATATTTTAAGGGCGAAAATGTACTAGGCATTTCGTACATCTATGGGACGCACCCCGACCCCACAATAAGAATAGAAAGGTGTGGAATAACGAAATAAAATAATAACTAATAACAAGAGATAGAAAACTTAATTGATCTTTCAACAATAATTATATCATTTTTAACAATGTTATGGCTTTGTTATATAAAATACCAATTTATAATAGGTAATTTGCAATTATGTAAAACAAATATAATTACCTTTTATTATATTAAATACTATCATTTGTGTAATTCAAAGAAGTCTATCAAACGCTCACCCTTTTACAAATTCAAGAGTAATTGACTCATCGTTAGTCCAATCTATAAGTGCCAGGGATAATTTATTTTGAATATTTATCGCTATTTTAAAGTAGGAAGTTTGCAACTATAGTTCTAATTTTGGCCAAATATCGGTGCTCAAATTAATAAGGTTTTACTGTCACATATTGAATTTTGAATTATAATAATAATATAATATTAAATTGCTTTTATTTTACATTTCATATGATAGATAGATGATGGATAATAAATAAGAGGGATATTTTGCAATAAAAATACACATTAATATAATTATTTTAAATATATAATTTGCTAAAAAAAAATTTAAAAATTCTTCTCTTCAAAAACACAAATAAAAAAATCATGTGTGGTTGGCGACAGAAATCTTGCACAAATATAGAAAATAAAGTATATTTTCGAACAAAATATTTTATAATTTTTTTTTCGTTTCTAATTTTTATATATTATTTTCTTATTGTATTTTTGATAACACTACATTTTAACAATTATGGGAGAATGATGATTTAAACATTTATCAAAGAGACCTTAAAGTTGCGATTTAACAAGAAAAAATTGACTGCCATTCATTTCTATTTATAAATATTAGCTCATCCTAATTTTTAAAATTAACTTGTATAATTTCAAATATGGTAAATCATAAATTTATCTCTGCCTGATTTCCATGTTCCAGCAAGACTCAGACTTGTCACGGAGATGGGCTCTTATAAAGTGACCGTAATTTAATTATAACCTTTATAATTGATTTTTTTATACCTAAAATTATAAAAAACTAAATAAAATATAAATACTTATTTTCTCCAAAAAATTATTCTTTTACCACGAAAACTTTCTTCTGGCTATCGCGATCTGTCTTATTTGAAGATTATCAAACTGATTTAAAATGAGATTTTGTATCTTTTTTACATTCCAAAATAATCTATCCAAGATAATTTAATATAGAGATATACTTTAATATATAGATTAATTTAATTATAGCATTTAAAATAATTAAAAACAATTTGTAAGAAATCAAGATTATAGGTAATTTGTCTACTTTATATTAAAAGTCGTCGGCTATTTACATTTTTTTGTAATATAAATTATATTTATATAAAATAGTTTAAATAAAAAAATAAAACCTTTTTTTTCATAATTTGTAAAAAATAAAAATTTGATCCGTAGTCTCATCATCATAATAGGACTAATTTAAATTATAGATTTTAAAGTTAATTGATGTTCAATAATACAAAGATAATGTAATGATAATGGATAAAATAAAATATATTAAAAAAAGAGCATTAGATTTTATATATTTAAATTAAATATTTAATATAACTTTTAAATATAAAACATTAGATGTGTATTAAATTGTTTTCTTTGTAATAAGATAATCTCTTGATTTTTTTTAAAAAACGACTCATCAAAGAAACTTATGACTTTACTCTATATACACTCCATAATTTCTTCTACTTTTACATTATAGTGTAATATAAAATAAATTAAAAATATTTGATTTATGAAATAAAAGCAAAATCTTTTTTTTCTCTATGGTATGGACGTACCTTAGTTAGTATTCTTTCTTTTTGTTCCTAGAATTTCGGTTCAATCTTGGGAGTAAGTCGGTAATTTAATTTATTAGAATTAATGGTATTCTTGAATATCGACCCAAATCTGTAAAATTTTGGAAAGAATTTAAGAGGGGGAAAAAAAGGGAGGCTCTTAGTAGCAATTTATAAAGTTTTTTTTCCCACAATAATATTTGACGAAAAAGATCATAAATTTTTATAATTTTAATATTGTTTTAAAAAAAAAATTCATGACCTGCTAGTAGAATTCTTTTTCACAGGTTGGGCCCTCCCTTGAATTTTTTATATTATTATTATGGGTCATGCAGATCTCTGTAAGAAAGATTCATATAATAAAGAAACATAAAATTTTCTAAAAATTAGATAGCGAAGGATGGAACATAAATTAGTAAAGAAGAGGTGATTCTATATGCTATTTTTTTTTTACATAAATATGATTTGCCAAAATGATTAATAAAAAATAATATTTTTCTTTTTTTCCCAATGAATGATATACTTTTGCGATCTTTTAATTTTAGAGGTTCGCTGGCGCCTTTTCCCCATTTGTTTTTTATTTTTTTTAAACAAAAATATCATATTTTTAATTTTTCTAATATTATAACGAGTTTTATTTATATATAAAAAAAAGAATTTGCGTTTTTAATTACTTTTAAAAAAGTTTTAAGCAAAATCATCGAATATTTAAAATAAATACAAATCAAAATATAATATAAAATATTTTGTAAGAATTTATCGCCGAAGAATATTTAAACTTTCAAGTAATTTTTTAATTTTTACAATCAAAATATTTGTAAAATATGTTTATTATTTTTATTTCAAAATAAAAATATGTGAATAAAATACAAAAATTTGTTTGAAAAAATAATTAAATTCGATACATCCCGATTATATTTAATTTGATTCTAAATTTACTTGATAAAAATTAATTTTTTTCGCACTAATTATCAAATTATTTTAAAAAATTAATTATTGATTATTTTTTTATTATGAAGAAATAAAGATATCCCCCCAAAACAAAAAAGATATCAAAATGTGAAAATAAATATTTTTAAAAAATTAGCCACGAAAAAAATAAACGAGGGGAATGATACATAAATTTGACGAGAAAGCCAAAGAATATAAAAATTTAGGGATACTCAATAATATCGATCTCAATAATGGCTTCCACATGAAAAGGAAACATTCGAGCACCAATTGCACCAAGCCGATGAAAAAGTCCTTCGCAATCGACGACATCTTGGAAGAAATTCCAAACGATACCAGTAATATGATCTCTAACATTCACAACGATTCTTTAAATAGTCAATGCTCATCTTTTAATGGCTCTAACATAAGCTTGAATTCTGTTGGCAGTAGTCTTCAAAACATCGCAGAAGTTGGAAATGATCACACAATCGAATTCACGAATAATCTTCACACAAAAATTAACGATAGCACCGAGGAAGAATGTGAATCGATGATCAATGCAAGGGATATGTGGAAATTCTATCAAAATCATCAGAATCCGCTATCTTACTATCACCACCAACCATACCTACCTTACAACTATTATTCTTTGTTAAAACACGATAACACCGACCCTAATATTTCCAACTCTACCACAATTAACCTAGAAAAAGACCAGAGTATTTCCAATCCATCTATTACTCGCAAATTAATCCAAAATGGTACGAGTACCAGCTCCGCAAAAGCCAACTCTACTTCCCGAACCCATAAAGGTTTGAACTTAAAAAAAATGTTTCTTTATCTTTACCTTTTTTAAAAAAATTTTTGCTCACTTTTTTCCTTCATTCTCTCAGATTTCTGTTATTTATTCTTTTTAGTTAAAAACACATATCCTAACGAATTCGATTTGAAAGACCCGGAAACATTAAATCGACTAAGCGTATGTACACTGAGAAAACACAAAGCGAATCGAAAACCGCGAACTCCGTTCACTTCTAGTCAATTGGTTTTGCTGGAAAAGAAATTTAGGAACAAACAATATCTATCGATAGCGGAGAGGGCACAATTCTCCAATTCACTGGAATTGTCGGAGACTCAGGTATATCTTTTTAAGCATACATAAAAAAATTTAGGAATAATATAAGCAAACATTCATTATATAAAAAATTATGTAATTTTAATTAATAAATTATTTATCATCAAATAGTCACGTATTACGATTTTTTTTTTAAAAAAAATTAGGTCAAAATTTGGTTTCAAAATCGAAGAGCTAAGCAAAAACGTATGAAAGAAGCCGAGATAGAGAAACAAGAAAAGTTGAGATTCGAACAAGATTTCAAACAAGACAAAAATAATCACTCTACTATTGATTTTTCGAACGAAAATCTAAAGCATTTAGATGACACGCCAAACGAAGATTCCATGACCGAATCGGAGTATGTAGAGAAAAATATTGTCAATACTCACAAAACGAAAAATGAAGCCAACTGTAAAATCAAATCTGATTCTTCAGGTAACCATTTGTCGATATCCGTTGATCTCCCGATCACCAATTCCGAGAAAACGTCTGATCTAGTTTATTCGAGTGGCAACCTTTTGCGTGATAAAGAGAACAATTTCTCAACTAATTCCAAGACCGAGCCAACGTTTCCTATTAACTCGATTTTTAAATTAGATCTAGAAACACCTTTTGAGTTAGATACTATGTTCAAAGGTTACCCATTTTATTCCGGATACAATGCCAAAAGTAATCTATACAATCATCAAATGACTCAACTAATGAGGAATATATTCAATCATTATAGTTGGCCTATATCATAAAAATTTATAGCAATCATAATTAATATTTGCCCTATCAAAAACTCCAGTTATTTATTATATTTAAAAAATAGCTAAAATTATACGATGAAATACAATTATTTAATTCAATGTTTTTCATTTCTAATTACAAGTAGAAACAATCCAATTTTATTATAAAAAGCTTTGATTGTCTGTTTTCTTCTAACTTAATATATATATTTATTATATATTATGATGTACAAAAAAAGAAAACAAAAAATATATAATTATAACAAAAAGTGCCAATAAAAAAATTATTTTTTGAAATTCAAGGAATTTTAATTGTTTTTAAAAAGTATAATTTGAATTGTATTTGAAACAATTCTTTATTAATTGCATTTTAGTAGATATCAATCACTTTTAAGTAAAAATAGTGAATATTTAATTTATAAGTATATATCTACAAACATACGAATCGAATAATTCCTTATCTGTACGAATAATTAAAACCACTATTCGATTCGAATTTGATTTTTTTTGAAATATTGAAAGTGAAGAAATAATGGGTGATTAAATTTTTAAAAAATATTTAGATATGGATGTAAAGTTTTTAAAAAGTCTAAGCACCCTCTGAATTTCAAACAATTTTGTCCTGAAATATTAAGGATAATTAATCTAGGGAGAATTAAATTAAAATTACTTCAAACAAGGCTGAATTTTCTAAAATTCAAAGAGTAGGTGCTATACGCATAGTGAATGAAATACAATTTTAACAAATAAGTTTAAAATTAAGAAAAATAATAGCTATAAATGATTTAAATTTTATTGATTCACTCATATCCTAATTCAATACCATACCTGATTACACTAGATTCCTGAATATCCTACGACATATACCATAAGTGTAGCCATGAATTTACTGGGGGGAGGTAGAGCACTATAAGGTGGTTTTATTCCCCCATAAATTTTATTGGAGGTTTTTAGGTCTACTTTTTTATAGGTATTCGGCTAGATTAGATTTTTATAAAAACAATTTTGTGTTTTCACTTTTTAATATATATAAATGCTTTTTTTCTAAAAGTTTTGATTCAAATTCTTCTTTACAGTGATATAATATAAACATTGGGAGCGAGGGGGCTGTCGGTCGATTTTTATTAGCTTAAAATGATATTTAAGAGATCAGGCAAATTTTCCGAAGGAGTGACCCCCTTCCATCTCCTTTGCTACGCTTATGACATATTCATATATAAGACAGTTATTTAAAACATAATGTTGCTAATCAAATCACTATCCATACCGTGATTAAACCTAATTAGTTCTTTTATTATCAAAGTTAATTAAATTTTTTAGTTGATTCTGAAATAACTATTTAAAAATTAGAAAAATTTAGGGTAAAGTGATCAATGCCCGACTATCGGTGGGAATTTTTTATCGAGGTTTCCTCACCCGTAGTTATTTTTACCTGGCCCGCGCCTTAAAATATTTTAGTACCAATTATCTGGTTCGGTCTGTAAAATTATCTGACCCAGTCTTTTTGAAACATTTTATGAAAGAAAATAAAATAAATTTGCTAAATTATTAGCTTTAAAAACATTTTCAAAACTTAGGTCCTCTCCGCAAAAATATTTTGAAAACCATTTGTCCGGCCAAGTTAAAAGATCTTATATCCCATCCGGGCTTCCTAGCTTCTAGTATATAACTATTTATTATTAATGAATCATGAATAATATTCTCAAATAACTAAAACAATTATATCTATTTTTATTATGAATTTTACAAACCTATGCAGAACAAGATCATTTTTCAAAAATATTAATTTATCCGAGACGTCAGCAAAATTTTAAGCATGGTGCAATATTTAATAAAATTTATATTTTCAAACCCTGCCCATATTGAAAAATTATATTTTAGAAAGAAATACAAGTAAAATAATATTAAACTATTCATTCTTATGGTTTTTTCCAACTGATTATATATGTTAGCGTCAATGTATTTTTCCAGGCAATGTGTTATTTTTTCAACTTTAAATTATTTTTTGAGCGCGTTTTTTTGAATTTATTAATTTGACTTTACCGGAAATGTATTCCATCATATTTGGAATACCTACCCGATGAATATCAGATAATTTTACTAATATATCAATTTCCATTTTTTCATAAAAATTATAAATGAGTCAAAAGTTATCGGTAAAAGTATCTACAATTCATAAGATATGTATTCTAAACATGCTGAAATATATTTCCGGCAAAATCAAAATTTAAAATTTAAAAAAACGCACTCAAAAAACGATTTAAAGTTAAAAAAATAACACATTACCGGAAAAAACACATTGCTAACATATATATAATCTAAATTTATTTTTTAAAAATCAGCCCGGCTCGGGTTTTGTAAAAAAACGGATTGTTAAAATTTTTTTCTTTTTTTTCTGGATTCCGGCTCGGGCCTTCGGGACATTACATCTTACTATATATTATCAGATGCACAAGTACTACATCCAAAAATATTAAAAATGATAATTTATATCCATATAATCGTAATTACTTGTGAAAGTAAAACATCCACATTAAAATGCCAGTTTATTAAACTGACCAAAATAAATATGTAATGAAATTATTTGAATGCGATTAGGTTAAATGCAAATTGATCTGAGAATTATCGAATAAATGCAAAGGTTTTAAAGTCCCTTTTAAATACATATAAATGTAATGTTAATTAATATCTATTAATTACGAATCCAGAGATTTATTTTATTAAACTTCATTATTAAAATTGTGATTTTAATTTTATCTATTATTTCAATACATTATTTCAAAAATATAAAGTAAATGAATCAATTTCAACCACATATTAATATCCTATTCTAATTTTATTAGTATAAATCATTATATGAGTTTAAATAGTTATTCTTATATATCAAAAGAGAATGTGAAAATGATGTAGCTAAGTAAATTAATTGCTGTTCTTTGTTTAATGTAAAAACCTTCTATAGTATTTTCGGTCTTCCATGTCATGCGATGACCTAGATCCTCAAAGACGGCTAGGTCGTGATTGCCAAAAGAATTTAGTTTTGTGGCAATTATTGGTATGAATAAATGGCTGGGAGGTAAAACACAGATTTACTTCGTTCTGCGTCGACAATAGCATCATGGTTTAATTTGGAGGGTGCGAGTGGATCTACACAGAAAAAATTCCAGGTTAAGAACTTACCACTCTTCCATCATCCCGATGCATCTGCGGCACCAAGTCCAAGAGGCTCAATGGTTGAAGGAATTCTAGCAGATTTCAAGGCACGAGATATAGTGTCATTACATTTTGCGAGTTTTAGAAATTTACCTCTATATCGTTTATACAGTAGGGAGTAGCGACCTTCGGAGTCAACAGGAGTCTGATAAAGTGGACATGAGCAGGGGATAACTATATCGCAATAAGTCTATCAAATGGCATGCCGTATCTTATCACTTCTAAATAGTTAATCACGATTACTTGGAGGATTACTTCAAGAAATTCAAAATTGATTTCCAATGAAGTGAGGATTACTTCAAGAAATTCAAAATTGATTTCCAATGAAGTTGTAAAGAGAAGGGAATGTTTCACAGGTTGACTTCTCTATTTAAGAAATGCAACAGACCAAGGGTAAATCGCACTCTCTCTGCAATGACGTTGAAGGAGGATCGACTAGGGAAGAGAACTTTCATAGATCAATGTGCCGGGATGCATTAAGATCTTATGCATTTGAAGATCCCTTGAATTTAAAGTATCTGCAAAATATTTAATGTAGGTGTCTTCATTCCTAGGGTGGCCCTAGATATGTGAGGTAACTCATTCTCAGTATGGCTAAACCTGAAATTATTTTAAACATTGCTGTTTAGGGGACAATATAAACTCTTTAGAGTATTTATTTTTGGACCGGGCCAGCCGCTTACTATTCCATCATCAATATATCAAGAGTGTAAATTAAGCTTCCATTGGGTATTGGATGTATACTATCATTTTATCTATTCCAAGACAAAAGAGGATTCATTTAAGTGGATCACCCTATTGGATACCTTCAAATGATGGAATTAATTTATCTTCAAATACAAAGTGTGTTGGTCTGGAGTAGCAGTCCTGAAGGACCTGGGAAAATCCAGGATAATAAGAATAAGCAGATTTAGTATTCCACTGCGTCTTAGGGCATTAATAAAATATAAAGATAAGTATATATTAAGCAACATTTTTTGATAATAGCAAAGAGAAAAATAATTTTTTAGATAAAAGTTGTTGAGGTTTTGGATGATGAGGCATGTAATTATTAAAGAACAACTAAATTTATAGAAAGAAAAATAATTTTTTTACTGAGAGGCCCGGTAAGATGAATGGAATCAAAAGCCCCATTATTTATAAATTTAGAAAGCAAGAAATTATAAAGGATTTAAAGTGCAAAGGTTTTTCTTAAAGGGTAAAAAATATGTAATTAAATATGGTAATCGGTAAGAAGTGTCCTAGACAAGAAGATCCGGAGAAAAGTACTGGACATAGATATGTCTGGATAAAAAAGACATCGGGCAAGAATATCCAAATTTTAATTTTTTTAAATGTTAAAAAAAAGGGGAAGTGTAAAAAAAATTATTAATTTTTTCCTCACACGTTTCATTCTTCATTAAAAAATTAGTTAGCTAAAAATAATGCGCAGTCGCTATGCATTTTTCCACAAATTTTTATAAAAAAAATATACATAGTAGAGTACTGGGGAAATTTTTAGGTGGGATGTATTGCTAAGCGGTTCCTGGGAAGGCAGGACTTGATATGGGATAGGGTTAATCTAAAATAGATTATGAGATTTAAATTAATTAGATACTAAACCCACTGCATTCAGTAACTGAAAGAGATTAAGACTGCTAAGCACGCGAAACAGCCAATTCTTTAAGTTTTTGCTGAACCACATGGCTTAAACTAAGGCCTGATACCGAGCTCATGAACCGCGCTAATGGTTAGCCTAGGTTTGTAACAAAAATTAGGGTTAGTGTTTATATTTGATGGAGAAAAATATCAATTTTATTAGACACTGAACCCCTAAATTCCGTAA